CCCCGGCCTTTCTCCTCTGCTCTCAACCCCCACCCCCCATACCCAACCCTCTCTCTTGTTGGCATAGTCCCTATCTTACTCGAGCAATAGAGATGATGATGATCCCAGTGGCAACAAGTGGGTGTCACAGTCCTCCACGCGGAATAAGGCAGCAAACATTTGCATGACATTTCCCGCTGGGCTTCACGGAACGGACTCTGTGTGGCTAACATCAAAGTCGACAGTGGCCTTACATCATGACCCCCAGGGGACTAGGGTTCTTTGCCAAATATCAATAACAACTTGCGGAAGCCAAAACGAGGAGCAAGTCGGTCGCCTTCGGTTTAGTTTTAGTAAGAGTTATAACGGCAGTTGCAACATAAATAGGTCAAACTAGTCCGGAGATTAGGTGTTACTATAGAGTACCATTCAAATCATTATTAAAGGACGATAAATGTTTGATAAGATAAAAAGAAGCAACCCACACCAGAGCATCCGCCAACCCAACAAGTCGGTCGCTTAAATGCAGCAGGTACTGTAACCTCCTTGGGTTCCACACATTCTTTTTCTTGTTCTTCCCGGATTATTTCCGGAATCATGGCCTTGAAAGGAGACTATGTGCTCCGCCTTCAAAATAGTTCAGTTTTAGTAAGACTTGTACGACACTTACAACACAATTAGGTCACTTTAGTTTTAGTTTAGTAAGGGGTTTTACGGCGCTCGCAACTGCATAAGGCCATATGAGCGCGCAAAACAAGTTGGTATTTTTCTCAACAGCTCACTGCTCGGCCTGGCCTGATTCAGGTCAACATTTCTAATTAAAATTGTTAAAACGCTAAAAATCAAGAGTAAATAGATTTTAAAATAAAAACAACTTTCTAAATAACACTTTAAAATTTCAAATAATCCAATTTATAACTTCCCACAAAGGCCAATGGCCTTCATAAAATTCAAAATTCTGTTGGGACAACGACGAAAAACAGACCTTGCAATAATTATTTGTTGCATCTAAAATAATTCCTTTGGGTCTATCTAGAGTCTAGACATTCGGGTAAAATGTGTCTAATGGTAAAATCTGTGCGGCTTCTCATCTCCCCGAAAGAGGTATTTATGTGTCACGGCCGTGTGTCCGATGTGTAATCGAGTATCAATGACTTCGTCTCTTCTGGAGAGATCCGAAGGATTTCGCGATCCCAGTTTGGGTTTAATGATGTGAAGTTTATTATTTGTTTGTTTTTATTCCAATTAGGTCAAATAAGTGCCGAAAATTATAAGTATTACAAGAGAGTAAGAAAAAAAGAAGAAGAAAGTAACAAACACATAAAAGAGCGACAGATGAGGACGATATATGTTTAATAGGAAAGAAAGAGCAACCCACACTAGAGCACCACCAACCGCATCTCAAAACCAAAAAGCGTCTCCAATTAAATAGAATGCCTAAGAGATAAACATTTTGAACGGCCCCGCATTCGCACGTCGTAAAAAATTTTTTTTTCCCCTCTCTTCTGCTCGTTTTTTTTTGTTGTTGTTTTAAACCCCCCATTGACATATTAT